GTAGATGATGGTGTGGTTTCTGACAGCAGGATGAACAGCAGGACATGCAGGAGAGACGCCACAGCTAGCAGAGGCTTCGCAGGCAGCAGGGGAGGCAGAATATCCTTATCTTGAAATCTCCACGCAGAGCACACTGCTCAAAAAAAATTAAAAGAACACCTTGAAAACACATCAGATCTCAAAGGAAAAAAAATTATGCTGGATATCTATACTGATATGGACTGGGTAATGTGTTAGGAATGAAAGGATGTTTGATGGAAATGAAAATGATCAATCTACAGAGGTCTGAATTCAAAAACACCCTGAAAATCAAAGTGAAAAAATGATGTGGCAGGCTATTCCATTTTGCTGAAATGTCATTGCAGCAACTCAAAATCGTACTCAGTATTTTGTATGGCTTGTATGCCTGACAATGTCGGAGCATGCGCATAATGAGACAACTGACCCACCACCAAACCGGTCATGCTGAACAATGTTACAGGCAGGATAACGTTCTCCGGACCCTTTGACGTCTGTCACGTGCTCAGGGTGAACCTGCTCTCACCTGTGAAAAGCACAGGGAGCCAATGGCAGACCTGAAAATTCTGGTATTCTATGGCAAATGCCTCATGAAGTCTGTTTCTGATTGTTTGGTCAGAGACATTGTTTCAGTATGAGAGCGGGATTATAGGGCTTTCGAAAGAACAAACAGGCACGCTTAGGTCCCTTCAGAAACGCTTTGTTAAAAGTAATACAAAATAACCTTGCATTAAAATCAATACCAAGATATTGTATCAAAAGCAATGCAAAATAACCTCGTATTACAAGTGATAACAAATAGTATTATGTATCATAGCCAATAATAATAGGTGCAAAGATACAAATGGTTATATATAGAGAAAATAAGCAATAAAACATAGAAAATGTGAATTATTATCACAAACAGTGATAATTAATCCTAATAATCAATGAAATGCACAAGCAGCTGCAAAGCTATTCACACTCGGACGTGCCATCATCACCCACCTTCACACACGGACTGGGGAGCCCATTTCAGTCCTGGCAGGAGACCAACACGTGAGTCCCGAGAAAGTCCCGGGCGATGCGCGCTCTATCCCATGGCTGATCTCCGGTCGGTACTGAGTTTTCCCCCTTTCTTTATACTAAATTGGGAGTGGTACGCATGCGGGCAGGGGGGCAAACTGGCCAGACTCACTCCTCCCCTCAGGCGATGCGCTCCTCGTTCTCCAATTCCTGTCTAGGTGAGGCTATTTGCGCTTGCGGTTACGAAACATTTTGGGCAATGCTTTCCCTTTTCCCCTGAGAGAGACCAGATAGGCATCCCTCTCCCCAGAGAAAGACAAGATAGATGTTCTAGATCTTTCTATAAGAACAAAACATTTTGAGCAACACTTTCCTTTCTCTCCTGGGAGAGACATGATAAGCATCCCTTTCCCCAGAGAAAGACAAGACAGGTGTCCTAACTCTTTCTAGGAGAAACAAATTATTCGTGAGAAACAAGTTATATAAGTGACCAGTGAAAAATATGTTTGTGCAGTTCAACCTTGGCACAGTAATATTATGAGTGAATCATGGTCGACGTATTTGAATCTCAGGATGATTAGTCCATTCACGATCAGAATCAGTCCATACCTCAATCACCTCATATGTATGTCTGCTACAGTAGGTTGAGTTGAATAATCAGAATTTGGGTCTTAGACTCCACCTGAAATAACATCTCAGGCTCTATTGCCCCCC